TGGTGTAATTAACGAGGAGTAGGAGTGGGGACGGCCCAGCAGCAGTAATACAGCAGCTTTGGTCTCAACACGGGCCCAATGAAGGATGAGTGCGGCATTGGAGGGGTGAGGGTGGGGGGCGGTTATAAGCGCCCGTTGCACCTGCTCGTTTTACACATATGAAATTAGAAAACCTGTTGGCAGGCCTAGTTTCCTCGAATTCTATAACACGCCGTGAAAAATAGGCGTCTTCAACGTCTGCTAAGTTGATATTGTGGCAATGTAGCATCTTCGGCGCATGGTGTACCCTTTACAGCCAGGTTGAGAGGAGTTCCTAATGGTCACTTGAAGCCTGGCATGTATTTTCTACCAATTCAACTGACGCGAGCATCGCTAACGATCACGAGTCGTGATCACGCTATAAACGTGCGGTCTTCATTGAACTGTGAGGAAGTCCGGCATCAGGAAATGCTCATACTTGGACAGAATACCGGACCAACAGGACGGTGACTGGGCCTGAAAAGAGCAAGACGTAGAGGCCAAATAATAAGCAGTCAAATACCGCATGTCCCTACCCATTTTTGCGGCGTTAAATATGTCAGCAATGACAATTTTTCCAACCTCCTTGTGTGTAGTAGCGTCAACCCCCCAAGTGAAAAGTAAGCTCGGGACATTGGTACACCCGTTCGTACTTTACCCTGAGTTCACAAAAACCTCAGATTTTGGTTTTGTTTTCCACTGTTTTAAGCACACAAAAATTCTGATACAGACTTTTATTTCCATCTTTCGCCCAGCCTCGTCCCAGAACACCTCGTTCTGTGCAAGGTGCACTACTCTGCATGCGGTTGTTCAGGTCAGTTCAAGAACAAGCACAGTTTTATTGACCTTTCTCATCATCAATCATGCTGGGGCATGGCCGGCGAGATCATTTTTTGTCACCGCATATGGTAAAAACTTAGTGATGGCGTAGGGGTGTAGTGAAGCGTGCAACAGGACGCGCCACTCCCAAATCTGGACAGATTTTGATAAGTGGTGGCAAGTACCGGAACTGTGAGGAGAACATCAGTGCACACATCAGTTCTTTCACGTCATCTCCGCGGACGAAGTGAAGGTGTGTTATGAAAAAATAAGTTAAAGGGAGTGTCCTTTTCATGTGATTCTCCAATTCCCAAAGAAGAAGGAAAAAAAAGGAAACAAGAAGCGAGCCGAAAAAGCCACCGTGATAAACATCATAGGAAGAAATCGAAACCAGAATATAACGTTTCCTTAAATTCGCGGAATGATAGCTGCATGCTCGCATATCTTAGTGTGCTGCAATCACATAATTGTGTTGCAAACATTAAAAAAACCCACGCGTTGGAAAAACCAGAGCAAATAAATGTACTACTTCGATAGTGATGTGCAGTGAGCTAAATGAGGTTTCTCCCGCAGGGTCGGATACTTCAAATCGAAATTCTGAGCTATTCAGAAGAATCCGAGAAAACTGGTATAACTCATCAAATAGGACATGTCTAATGCAACAATAACTGAAAAAAGCAACAAGGCGGGGAACTTCCTTTAAAGCAAAGGCCAATGAACGCACTTTAAGGTACCATAAGTCTATCCCTTTGGGCGATTGTAATGTCCAGGTGTCCGAGACGTCAGAGCACAAAGAGTCTGGGATAAAAAGTGGGACAGAGAAGCTAGAATGATACGGGGACAGCCAAGCGAGCGCATTTATTTTACGCCTTTTTGCACATCAATGTAGATTTTTGCACGACCTGTGGTATTCGAGATGCTGTGTTTTGTGCGCGGCTCCGATTTCTTTCTTAGTGCGTGTTGCTAGTTTGTTAGATGCTATATGTCTATCAACTATATATTTCAAGCGATCAGAAACTTTGTGTATCTTATTTTCACTAAGAGCTCTTGCATGTGGTAAGGATTTAAGCGCGACAAATGCTCCCAAAAAGGCGCAGAAGGGTCATGCCAATTTCACACGGTTAAATGGCTAGTTTTTTATTGGAAACTACGTAATTCCTGGCAGGGAATGGAAAAGGGCTAAATGGCCTACCACACTTGCTGACAACCCCATGCTTAGAGCCTATGACACCAAACGACATCAAACCTTCATCGTTCGATGCCACTTGGTTGGTAACTTACCCTTTCTATAATATGGTGACCTTGGGTCGGGTCAAAGGTCACCAAAAATACAAAAACAGATAACCAGGGTTGCAGACAACCCTCTCCTCCGAGCCTATGGCACCGATCAGCATCAAACCTTTACCAATCGATACATCATGGTCGATATCCTATCCTTTCCAGAAAATGGTGACTTTGGGTCGTTCCAAACATGACCAAAATACGCTCAAAACCACCGAAATTGGCTGCAGGCAACCCCATTCTCCGAGCCAATGAGATCGATCAGCATCAAACCTTTACCAGTCGATATGCCATGGTCGATATTTTATTCTGTCCAAAATATGGTGACCTTGGGTCAGATCAAAGTCAACAAAAAATACAAAAAACGCGGAAAAATGGAGTTACAGACAACCCGATACCCCGAGTCTATTGCACCGATTAGCACCATGCCTTCACCAGCCAATGTTCCACATTCGATATGCTGTCCTTTTCATAATATGGCGGCTTTGGGTCAGGTCATGGTTCACGAAAAGCGCCCAAAAACCACCAACATTAACTGCAGATGTCCCCATGCTCGTGGCCTGTGGGACAGATCGATACCAAACCTTCACCATTTGATGTCGCTCGTTCGATAGCCTATGCTTTCCAGAACATTGTGGCCTTGAGTCAGGTTAAAGGTCATCAAAAGTGTTGCCTCAACCACTTTTATTTTTTGGCGTTTTTGGTGACCTTTTGACCTGACCCTAAGCCACCATTTTTTGGAAAGGATAGGTTATTGACCAAAGGGCATCGTATGGGAAAGTTTTGGTGTCGATCGGCGCCCTTGACCCGAATCATGGCGATGTCAACAGGTTTGGTCGGCGGCCAAGTCCCTCCTCATGGAATGCGTTTTCGCTTCTCCCGCCAATTTAGCTTCAACTGAAGCAGACTATGGTCAAAAGAAATAAAATTGGCAAACTCTAGCCCAAAGATGATCTGTTACCATGCTTACTGTGAGCTCAAAGGAGACAAGCACATTGTTTTCATGAATTACTCGTTTACAAGGCCAATGAGTTTATCTTAAGGAAATACAAATATCTGCTCTCGGAGCATTTGAAGGTGGACTGAGCTCCGGAGGCGTATTTGGCGTTCTATGGAAGGTCAGAAAATACATAGCTTGATGGGGTTACCACTTTTGATTGTAGAAGAAAATACACTTGAGCAACACATCTTGTGTGAGACCCCAACTAGCCTCAGGCTCGAACTTTTGACCTCTTCATCGTTCGACCTGAAATCATCAGGTTCAGCTTCAGCGCTGCAGGTCACCATACAGCAATTCTGAGCGAACTTCGTGATTTGAGGGTGTAAGATTTGTCCATGGTTGGGTCGATGTCACGGAGAATTGTCCGCTTGCACTGCTTTGTGCGACGAACGTATGTCTCCATGTGTTGGAGAACTTTTCGCAACGCATGTTACAATCTTGGATGACGAACACTTTTTGTAGCCATGGAAGACAAACACTTTTTGCAACCATGGAAGACAACTCCGGTAAAAAAACTGTCGCACGATTCCTTCGAAAGTTGAAAAGACATTAGTGCATCATCAACATGGCGTTACAACACTTCAAGTGATGTGATCAGGTCGAGAGCTGACACAGGGCCACGTCCAGGTTCTCAGGTCGAAGAGAAGGATGAGAAAATGGTCATACGAAGTCGATTTTAATTTTTCATAATTATGTTCTACGGTTCT